GGGATGGGATTGGATGGGATTGGGATGAGATTTGGATGGGATTGAGATGGGATTGGAAATGGAATTGGGATGGGATTGGGATGGAATTGGGATTGGGATTTGGGATGGGATTTGGGATGGGATTTGATGGGACTGGGATGGGATTGGGATTTGGGATTTTGATGGGATTGGGATGGGATTGGGATGAGATTTGGACGGGATTGTGATGGGATTGAGATGGGATTGGAAATGGGTTTGGGATGGGATTTGATGGAATCGGGATGGGATCGGGATGGGATCGGGACGGGATCGGGACAGGATCGGGATGGGATTTGATGGGATTCGATGGGATTGGGACGGGATTCGGGTTTGATGGGATTTTCCCTTCCCTCCCTGCAGACCGGGAGAAGCGGATCAGCCTCCCGCAGATCCCGGCCCCGTGAGTGATCCCGGCCCTTTTCCCGGGATTCCCGGCCCCGGTGCGGGGTTGGGATCCCGCTGATCCCACTGATCCCGCTGATCCCGCTCCTCATCCCCCGTCCCGCTCCCTGAGCCTCTTCCCACCCTCAGGAATCTGGGAGAGAGGAATTCCAGCGTTTCCCACAGCGCCAGCGGCGGTGAGCTCGGCTCTGCCCCTTCCCCAAATCCCGCGGGATTCGGGATCGCGGGATCACCGGATTCGGGCATTTGGGATTTTGGGATTTGGGAGCCATTCCGAGCGGGATTTGGGGATTTGTGATTTGGGGATTTGTGATTTGGGGATTTGTGATTCTGGGATTTGGGAGCCATGCCAAGCAGGATTTGGGGGTTTGGGATCTTGGGGTTTGTGATTTGGGATTTTGGGATTTGGGAGCCATTCCGAGCAGGATTTGGGGGTTTGGGATCTTGGGGTTTGGGATTTGGGATTTTGGGATTTGGGAGCCATTCCAAGCAGGATTTGGGATTTTGTGATTTGGGATCTCAGGATTTGGGATCTTGCGATTTAGGAACCATTTCAAGTGGGGTTTGGGATTTGGGATTTGGGATTTGGGAGCCATTCAGAGCGGGATTTTTGATTGGATTTGGGATTTGGGATTGGGGAGCCGTTCCGAACAGGATTTGGAATTTTGGGATTCGGGATTTTGGGATTAGGGAATTGGGATTTGGGAGCTGTTCCGTGCAGGATTTGGGATTTTGGGATTCGGGATCTTGGGATTTGGAACTCATCCTGGGGCCATGGGATTCAGGATCGCAGGATTTGGGAGCCGTTCCAAGCAGGATTTGGGATTTTATGATTTGGGATCTTGGGATTCGGGATCTTGGGATTCAGGAGTCATTCCATGCAGGATTTGGGATTTGGGATTTGGGAGCTGTTCCGAGCAGGATTTGGAATTTTGGGATTTGGGATTTTGGGATTAGGGATTTGGGATTTGGGAGCCATTCCGTGCAGGATTTGGGATTTTGGAGCCATTCCGAGCAGGATTTGGGATTTGGATTTGGGATGTGGGATTTAGGAGCCATTTTGGGATTTGGGATTTAGGATTTTGGGATTAGGGACCATTTCCATGCAGGATTTGGGATTTGGGATTTAGGATTTTGGGATTAGGGACCATTTCCATGCAGGATTTGGGGGGGTCGGACTCCCCAAACTCTTTTCCCGAGGTTTGGGATGCATCCTTGCATCCCGGAGGAGCACCGGATCCTCCGGAGCTCTCCTCCCGCTGAGCTTCCCGATCCCGCTTTTCCCGCTTCCCGTTTTCCCGCAGATTCCGAGATCTACGCCGAGATCCTGGACGAGTCCTCGCGGCCCAGATCCGGAGGTTGGCGCTTCCCTCGGGAATTCCCCACGGGACCAAATTCCCGCCCCGTCCTCGGCAAAGCTCTCGGAAGGTCCCGGAGGATCCGTGGGGGAGGATCCCGGGATCCCTGGAATGATGGAGAGGGCGGGATCCATGGATCCCTGGGGATGGATTAGGCAGGATTCGTGGATCCATGGAATGATGGAGAGGGATCCCAGGATGGATCCCTGGGGATGGAGCGGGCGGGATCCCAGGATCCCTGGGGATGGAGAGGGATCCCGGGATGGATCCCTGAGGATGGATGGGGCAGGATCCCTGGATCCCTGGGGATGGAGAGGGATCCCAGGCTGGGTCCCTGGGGATGGATTGGGTGGAATCCATGGATCCCTGGGGATGGAAAGAGCAGAATCCACGGATCCCTGGGGATGGATGGGACAGGATCCCTGGATCCTTGGAATGATGGAGAGGGTGGGATCCCTGGACCCCTGAGTATGGAGAGGGTAGAATCCATGGATCCCTGAGGATGGAGAGGGATCCCAGGATGGATCCCTGAGGATGGATTGGACAGGATCCCGGGATCCATGAGGATGGAGAGGGCTGGATCCCGGGATCCCTGGGGATGGAGAGGGCAGGATCCATGGAATGATGGAAAGGGATCCCAGGATGGATCCCTGGGGATGGATGGGGCAGGATCCCTGGATCCTTGGAATGATGGATAGCGCCGGATCCCTGGATCCTCACGGTTGGACAGGATCATTTCCCCAGCTTTTCCCGGCCGGATTCATCCCAGGGAATAAATCCGGGATAATTAATCCGGGATAATAAAATCCGGGATAATAAATTTGGGATAATAAAATCTGGGATAATAAATCCGGGATAACAAAATCCAGGATAATAAATCCGGAATAACAAAATCCAGAATAATAAAATCTGGGATATTAAAATCCAGGATAAAAAATCTGGGATAATAAAATCCGGGATATTAAAATCCGGGATAACAAAATCCGGGATAACAAAATCCAGTATAATGAATCTGAGATAAGAAAATCCAGGGTAATAAAATCTGGGTTAATTAATAAAATCTGGGATAATTAATAAAATCCGGGATAACAAATCCGGGATAACAAAATCCAGGATAATAAAATCTGGGATAATTAATAAAATCTGGGATAATAAAATCCGAGATAAGAAATCCGGGATAATAAATCCGGGATAGTTAATAAAATCTGGGATAATAAATCTGGGATAATAAAATCCGGGATAATTAATAAAATCCGGGATAATTAATAAAATCCGGGATAACAAAATCCGGGATAACAAAATCCAGGATAGTAAACCTGGGATAACAAAATCCGGGATAATAAATCTGGGATAATAAAATCCAGGATATTAAAATCCGGGATAAAAAATCTGGGATAATAAAATCCGGGATATTAAAATCCGGGATAACAAAATCTGGGATGTTAAAATCCGGGATATGAAAATCTGGGATAATAAATCCGGGATAATAAAATCCGGGATAACAAATCCGGGATAATAAATCCAGGATAATAAATCTGGGATAATAAATCTGGGATAATTAATAAAATCTGGGATAATAAAATCTGGGATAAGAAATCCGGGATAATAAATCCGGGATAACAAAATCCGGGATAATAAATCTGGGATAACAAAATCCGGGATAATAAAGTCCAGGATAAGAAATCCGGGATAATAAAATCCGGGTTAATTAATAAAATCCGGGATAATTAATAAAATCTGGGATAATTAATAAAATCCGGGATAACAAAACCCGGGATAACGAAACCTGGGATAGCAAA